AAAATAACCAACCACCACACCAACAACAGCAGCAACATCCAGCACCAATCACCATCAACGGGAGGGATTTGAAAGAGGAGTTACTTCATTCACTTGTCTAGGAAGCATCGTCTCAACTAGAGGAAGTCGGAACGGACGAGGATGTCAAATCGAGAAACACATTCATCAACCTGAAATCAATCTGGAAATCTTCGTCACTCTGCAACAACAACAAAATTCGTCGGATCTTCAATACAAACAACGTCAAGTCAGTTCTTCTATGCGGATCGGAAACTTGGCGGGCGGGTCACAAAGAATATTTCCAACAGCCTGTTGCAGACCTTTATTAACAACTGTCTTCGCTCTATACTGAAGATCAGATGGCCGGGCCGGAAAGAATCACCAACAAGGAACAATGGGAACAAACAAAGCAAGAACCAATCGCCCAACAAATATGCAGGAGAAAGTGGAGATGGATTGGACACTCGCTGAGGCCACTGGGTGACATCGCGTGCGCGTCAGGCCATTGCTCGAGTGGAACCCGAAAGGGAAGCGGTGAGTGGGATGTCAGTGCAAGGGTGACATGGAGGAGATCGTGTGAAGAGGAGTTGAAAGAGTATGGACTAACATGGATGCAGGTGAAAAGTAGAGCAGAAGACAGAAGCAAGTGGAGACGTGCAGTTGAAGCCCTATGTTCCACTAGGAACCCAAGGGAGCAATAATAATAATAAATTAAACAAAGTTATACCTTCTGTATGCTTAGATAAGACATTACTTGAAACTTTATCTCTCGGTTTAAATTTCTGTGATAGACGTAGTCAAGGTAATCATTTAGAAACTGATGTTCAATTTGGAAACCTGTTTGCCCCGGTAACGACTTAATTCCTTCGTCCATATATGAACTGGAAAGATTTAAATATTCCCTAATAGATTCCTGCTGCCGTTTTAAGAACAAATATCCTGTCAACAACCTACTTACGAAGACACACCATGAGGCATTACGTGACCTCAAGGAGAACAAACATCTGACAATAACTAGACCCGAAAAAGGATATGATACAGCTATCATGAGTGAGAGTGATTATATAGACAAAATGATTCTCATTGTAGGCGACCAAACAAAATTTTAAAAACCGAATAGTTGTAAAGACACAGCTGAAGCCACCGAACTCCAAATGACTAAGATAATAAAATCACTAGCTGAGAGCAATCTGATTCCTAAGTCTACGCCTGACGAATTAAAACCTTCACGTACACATACACGAAGACTTTGTGGTCCACAAGCCTGGAAACCATTACGTTAGGACGTAATGTGTCAATCTTCCTATCATTCTACAGCAAATTAGTTGACAGAGGCATCGGAACGTTTACATCGTTAACTATTGAAATTAAGTGTAAAAGGCGTAAACGGAAATAAAATGATGGCACTGGATGTAGCATCATTACTCATCAAAGTCCCGTTGCTCAAAACAGTGACCACTACTTATGTGATCGACTGACAGAACAGAAGAGAGATGTAGTAATGCCACTAGAAAAAGTCAATGAATTACTATTGAAATTCACGATGAATGTCCAGTATATGTTCAACAGTGATTTTTATTGACAAGTTCATGAACTAGCCATGTGTCCACCTCTGAACCCTACGCTAAAGGACAGTTTCTTGGCAAAGCTTGAAAATGATCTACTCAAGGACACGATTAAGGGGCTTGACTACTATTGTTGATACGTAGATGATACCTTCATCGTCACTACCTAGAGACAGGTTAACTACGGATACCGTAAATAGGAAACCTTCGTATCTGAACTATTAAATTGAATGTTTTTAGATTTTCCCGTCGATTGATTGAACCGAAGTGCTCGGTCTCAGGTTGATATCGCATTCTTGTGCAAATGCTTCGACAATGTATGGGCATGTAATGAGAATTTGATTGGTGAATGGGGAATGCAGGTACATCCAGTGACGAGTCCCAAATAGGACGAAATGCGCATACTGAACTTCCTATCGTAAGTTACAAAGGGGAGATTGCAGCAGACATTCTAAAGTGTCGACTTAAAAGAACGGTAGGGAGAATATTCCCTTTAGCTAAACTGGTACTCAGTTGATCAACTAAACCATTACTCACACAGAGTTCAAGATAAATTACCAAAGACGGCCTCATCAATGTGCATCTATGAATTCAACTGATCGTGTGGGCCTAGTTACATTGATCGTGCTCAGAGGGCTTTATCCATGTGCGCGCGTGAACATTTACCTGTATGGTTGAGTAAAGGGTTAACCAAATGCGTAAATAGTGCAGTCTTAGCCCACTTTGTAGATACTGGACGCTCGATAAAACATGACCAGGAGTTCTCACCTATTTACCGCGTTCCTGGTAATCTATCTAGAGGTCCCCGACTACGTCTTCTATCAGTAGCCGAAGCGGTCGCAATCTATGCCAGAAGACTGACTCTTTGTAAACAGAAGAAGTATGTTCAACCGCTATATTTACCTTGGTCTACATTAAGATAAACAAATTCTCCATCAACATTAGCACTTCAAGTTCCTGTCGCAATTTTCTTTTTTTCTTCTTCTCCTTTGTTTAATTGACAAACGTTGACTTTTTATCATTTCGTGACCTTTCTTATCAGTTTATTACCTTAGCTTTAATTAGTGCTTTTCTAACTTGCAATCGTACTTACAAAATCCTGTTCATTTCACTTCAATTAATTCATTATTATTAGTATTCGATAATCATTCACTAATAGTACTTTTAAGTCTACACATCATCATTATTGTTGTCGTTGTTTTCATCCTTTAACCTACGTCTAGTCTATCCCATCTGTTGGTTTATTTATCTGTGGTATTCATATTGTCTCACACATCACTCGTTACACTCACCCTTGAAACCTGTACTTTTGTTGACTATATTTAAATATGTGTCTACACACATCATTGAAATATTTCAGCTCATGTTTTCATTGATTATGCATACTCAAAACTAACTGACTACTGTTCCATCCCGTCTTACACCTGTTCCACAACACACTTTCTGATATGATTCTTATTTGCTTTTACTGGCTGGCTATTGTACGTTTAAATTAATAGATTTATAATTGTAGAGCCTGAAGAAGAATTTATTGAAAACAATTGTTCGCCCTAACTATTTTGTTCTGAATAGATTATGGGAGTATTCAGGTTTTATAATTTCCGGGAATTGTTCTCTGTTTCTCCAAATGAATTTTCAATGGTTGTATGTACTATTTTCAGGCTATTGACTGCTTGCTTGATTATTCAACATTTTTAGCAAATGAAGTTGCCTATTCCCGAGGTTATGTTTTGGTATATCTAAATGATCCTTATCGGTGTTTTGCCGTCAGGCATATTCTAGGATATATTTTTAATATTTTCTAAAATCCCTCGCCTTACTTGTCATTTCTCCGTATACCTTCGTGTATCGGAAATTAAACACACTTGTGCTTACTTATATCTAGTGTGGAAAAGTGAAATGATGAACTTTCCTGTGAAATACTTTCTTCAGTCATGTTCAAATGACAGCTAATTGACAATAGGATTCAACGAAGACCAGTGGGTCTCCTCAGTTGGACAGCTAAGTCAGTCAGTGCATACAACCAATCAATAGGACCAGTCAACCAATTGAGTAGATGAAATAACCAATTTTCCTAATTACAGTTATCCTATTTTGGTATTACAACCGTACTTGCGGGAGTCTGAAATCCTCCTAAAACAAAAAGTATGGAGTTTCAGCGTCAGGACTTCTCTGTGAAGTAACATTGAAAATATCAACTGGGATGCAAGGAACTTGGAAACGTTTCCGAACTTTCACTGTCTGTCTGGATTCAACATAGAACTTGGCACCGAAGTGAAGCAGTTCGAGTTGCCACGTTCCAAATAGCACACAAAGGTAGACAAGATGAGTGGAGAGAATTAATAGTTTCACAAGTATAAGAGTGAAACAGAGTGGGTAATGGTAGAAAGGAATATGAAAGATTACAGAGACTGAATACATCTGCGCTGGCCATTGACAACGATTTTGAGCCATGTCACCTATTGTCTCCAGCCATTGATTCCTAGAGTCCCGAGGGCCCCAACCCGGGAGTCTGCATCTCCCTACCTGACTCAGTTTAACTGTCAAGGATTTCATGGATTGATGTGGTCATGTTTTTGTTTGGCCACCACTGGCTCTTTTCCAACCTGAACCTATGTCAGCTAGCAATGCCCGTCGGGGGAGGCGGTGGTTAGGCATGCGCAGCACGTGACCTAGCCATCTCAAACTATGTAACTTTATAGCCTCGTCAATTGATTTCCCCTGTTTACCCAACACTCTACGCCTAACGTCAACATTACTTACCTTATTAAACCACCTAACTTGAGAAAGAGATCGCAGACATCTATGATCGAAAGCAGTCAACCTTTTCATGTCTTCAACTCGTATTGGCCATGTTTCAGAGCCATAGAGAAGGACGGAGCGAACTGCTGAGCAGTACACACGTCCCTTGGTTGATAGCCGGATGTCACGCCTACGCCAGAGATGGTGTAAGTCAGTGAAAGCAGCTCGAGCTTTTCGGATCCGTGCTGAGATTTCGTCGCCAATCAGTCCGTTGGCGCTGATACAACTTCCCAAATAGATGAAGTGGTCAACATGTTCTATCACTTCACTCCCTATCACTAAGCTAGGAGTTGACGGAGTCCAGTCTTGTAGCAGCATCTTACATTCTACAGGGGCGAATCGCATGCCAAACATACGAAGATTGCTGCTCAAGGTGTTCAGAAGACTCTGCATTTTGTCGGTATCCCCCCTAACAGGACTATGTCATCTGCATATTCTAAAACCCTGGTAACAAGTCGATTCCTAAGTCGTTAAGTTCAGTTAAGGATACTTCCATTAGCATATCTATGATGAAGTTAAACGGAAATGGGGAAAGTGGACATCCCTGCCGGACACCACTGGTTGTTATCAATTCAGATGACAATTCTCCTTAAGCCCTTACACGGCTACGTGAGTTTGAATAGAGTGCCTTGATTAGTGCAATGTACTTTCTTGGCAAGTGCAATGTACTTTCTTTCACATGGAGTAAAAATCCTGAAAGAATCAAGAGACCCTCATATTTGTGGTTCTACTAGAGAGGATAAAAATGTAATCTCAGCTAGGATAACTTTTATTCTTACTACCCATAGTATTTTAACGTGGGTGTCTGGTAGTTGTTTACAATACCACAACCTCTAATGATAATAATAACAAGATAATATTCTTCGAACAACTATTTCTAACTATCCTTACATCGTTGACAGGCTACCTGAGGATGCAAGTGCATTTAGCTGATAATTCTCAAATAAGATGAAAAGCGAATCCTGTATTCCGCCGCTAATCACAATCAACTAAATGACAATATGATTTAGTAGTTTAAGTAGAATGATAAATAAAAAATGTCACGCATAGAAATATATGACGAAGATTATAATCATTTAAAGCTAACAAACCCTGAATATTTGTTAGACAATACCTCATTATCAGAATTTGTTCCATATGTCTATGGCCTAACAATCACTACACCACGAAACAGTATATTTCCATGACTTAACCTTTTTAGTACTTACCATGAATTAAGTATTATGACAAATAAGCTAAAATAAACATCAACGTAGTAATAAAAGGCAATTGGGATACATTTTGCGTTGGATTCAAACAAACAAAAAACAAAAGATGATAACTATGTACACTATCTACAGTTTCTGTAAACTGACCAATCATTTGTCTGGAAAAAAACTATGAGTAAAAAATGTTACTTTGCATAAACTCAATGACAGAATAGGAGTTAGGAAAAAAAATTATTTTTTAAGACCTTGGGGTATTTTATTACGCCATGCATTCCAACACAATTGTAATGGTAACAGACCATTACTATACTTGTAATTAAGGCGTACGTCAAAGTTGGCTGAATAACCTAAATAATTCAAATAATTAATTACAGGCACTAAAGGCAGTAATAATCTAGGCAATGTACTTCGTATTAAGCTACGCTGTCGCATATCTTTCTCTTGTAGTTTTAATGAATTGAATGTTGGAGTAGAGAATGATTTCAGCATAATTTCACAGGCCAATTTTGAAACACGTTTGGCGTGAAAATGACCCAGTGAAGCAATATCCTTTGTCAGGGCTTTGACAGCTTCATCATCGGAACGTGTTATTAATGATATGTTCGTACGTAAGAAACGAAGTATGTGTTCTTGAGTTAAATTATGCTACGGAAGTAAAATACATAATAAACACATTAGTTCCTTAGTAGAAATCAAGTTTTACAATGCTTTCAGATAAATACACCCAATAAAATATATGCAGGGGAATACAAAACCTGGAAGTGACAGATAGAATGAAAATTGATAAAACAGTATACATAATTTTTAGACATGTCTCCATAACGTTAAACTACAAACTGAAACAGATACATGTAGATCATTGAGAATCTATTAAGAATATTTTAATGTTTATCAAAGATATGATATACTGTTTACTCATCATTTTGAATTTCCCGCTGCACGGAAATACTCGTCCCTTTTTTGACATGTTAGGCTCTAGTACGGACGCTTCGACGACGTGAGGTTGACAGGACTGATTGATGGCGTTTAAAACGGTGGGTCATGGCTTAAAGTTCCAGTGGCAACACACCTAGCCAACAGAACAAAATACACGTCCAGGATTTCAGTGTTAACCATCATCAACCAAATAACCATGACATCCTGGTTTATACCTGTCATTATTAACCTTTAAGCTCGAAATTCACCTTACTTACTACGACAAACGCGAGTTGGCAGCCTCATTTGTGCATCAGAAATTAATATATAAGTTTATAGCGAAACCATTAACACTAAGGTCACCAGCACAAATGATGCAAAGTTGATTAAAAAGATTTGAATATTCATTAGTGCGTATACTTACTTACTTTACTTTACTTCGGCTATCTACTACGGGAGGATGAGCCGGCTTCATGAACCATGAAGTTTCATGGGAATTGGGCACGAGTGATGTCCCCAGCATCGCTCGGCCTTTTGTTTGAGAGTGCAGCTCTAGCCTTTACACAACCAAGTGTGACCTACAAGGCAGTAGGAGTGGAGTAGGGAGTCCACTATCCATTGGCAGCCGGTGACCGGAGTCCGGTTCATTCGCCTTTTTGAATGGGGCCAGTCATCCAGGGCATCCAATAAGCCCTTTGTCCATACGTCTGCCGGTGAGCTCCCGTGAGCTTCATACGCCAGTCGTTGGAGGTTTGGAATCAGGGTTTAGCCATCTCCCCTAGACTGTCATCCAATGGACAGTCAACCCGGTGAAGAGCGCCGGGCATCCGCTTTTGCCCTCTCACTTTGGTGAGAAACACCTCCGCCACGTGAAGGCAGTGAGTAGGACTTCCTCAGGAGAGGCTATGTAAGACGCCCGGTCATATGGGAGCATTTCAAGAGGTGTACGGAGGGGTGGCCAACCCGCAGCGCAAGACACCCACCCCCGACCATCCTGAGGCTTTGGAGGCGTATGTACTTATTATATGTACTTATTTTTGTAGAACTATTCGGCCGAAACTTGGTGATATATATATATATATATATATATATATATATATATATATATATATATACAAGTATTAGTAAGAAAAGAAATATTTCCAAAGCTATGTCATTAGAAGTGGAAGCTTTAGATAACAAATAATGATATATATATAGGAAGCGTTAATCGGATGGGAAGTCAAGTGAAATTAAGTAAACAAATTGAGTGGAGCAATATAATTGAAAGGGATTGAGTAGAATTCCGTTAAAATTAAACCAGTGTCAAGTTAACGACAGTGATAATAAGGAGGACAGGGAATAAAAGAAATACAATTGGAAAAACAAAACATACGTATCCCAACCTAAGACAGATCAGTTCCATTGCAGGAAAAGTGACTAAAACTTTTTTTGTATGCAGAGTTCATGACTTAACACTTGAATCGCCATTGCTTCTGCGGTTGGAAGAAGATTCATTCGCACCCTTTTAGCAAGATTCCCGCGTATTCTGTAGATGACTTTGAAGTTAGTTTGTGAGTTAGCTTGGTGGCCACATTCGACTAGGTGTTCCAGGATAGAGCTATGGAGGGATATTTTTTCTCCTCCATTACGGTGAGTGTTCGATGATACGTTTAGACAGCAAACACAGGGTACATCCAAAATACTTAGCTACAAACAAGCAGATGAACTGACAGATACCCACTGTTGATGACAACAGTGGCAGGTTATCTTTGACGTTCATTGGAAACATCGGTTTTGCGGAGTAAGCCAAAGTTCAGTCGCGAAGAAAGTTTACTTCAATGAGCGGGGCAGGCAGTTTCTCAGTATTTCTGCTGATGGGTCTTCATTCAATTGTAAAATTAAGTAGAGATGTATTTTAGGAGGAGAAAGTGAGGACAATTTTACTGGTTAAGCATCATGGATTTTGTGATAAAACGTTTGGCGTAGCAATTTTCAAACAGAATTCCTTTCTGCGGGTTCAGCTCCTCTTTGCGTTTAATCTCTGCAAGGATTCGGGTACGAATATCACTGTCAACTGAAGATTTGAGACCGCAGACAAACATCAGGCATTTAAACTGGTCATCCGTAAGTGATCGAATTTTCGATCGCTCCCATTCACGAATCACCTTACCAGCATAGGTGAGAATATCATCTCCTGGATCTTTGGATATCTTGAAACAATTGTAACCGATACTGAAGAGAGATAACTGTTCACCGAAAATATTGGTTAACGTTTGAACGGTTTCTTCAAAGTTGAGTTATCTGGAGTTCCAGAAAGTTTCGATCTCGGTCGACGAAACCTCAAATCAGCAGTATGTTTCGCTACCTTCAAAGTTGACTTCGAGTCAAAAAGAAAGTTTGTCACACTTTCTATCAACCAGAAGCCAGTTCGACTACAGTTAGATACTGCTTCTGATATCACAATCATATCTCCCCAGACGTGGCGGGCACTCGGATATCCACCTTATCAGAGAACGGAGCATACTGCCAGAAACGCGTCGGGTGACGTAATGAAATTATCTGGCCAGATTGAATGCGACGTAACTTTCCGGTCGACCTCGTTCCAAGGAACATGCTACATCACCAATCGTCATGATTTGAACTTGCTTGGTATCGACTGGATCGAAAAGATGAAACTCTGGGATGTCCCACTGAACTCAGTTTGTTCCAATGTACAGTGCTCAGATAGTCCTACCAACATGTTGATGCATCCGAACTCGACCGCAAAGTTCATCAGTCATCTTCGCACCAAACACGCTGCCGTTTTTCAAGAGTCTTTGGGTTGCTGTACCATACAAAAAGCCAGACTATACCTCAAACCTGATGCCAAACCAGTTTTTAGACCAAAACGCCCAGTACCGTATGCCGCACTATCGTCCCTTGATGCAGGGCTAGATCGTTTAGAAAAGTTGAACGTAATCAAGCCAGTCGATTACTCATCCTGGGCAGCCCCCATAGTGGTTGTCAAGAAAGCAAACGATACCATCAGACTTTGTGCTGATTTCTCAACAGGACTCAATAATGCCCTTGAAGATCAACCGTATCCACTACCAGTACCGCAAGATCTATTTGTCAAACTGAATGGCGGTAAATACTTCAGTAAACTTGATCTAGCTGAGGCATACCTACAGATCGAGGTCGAAGATGATTCTAAAGAGCTTCTGACAATCAACACTCACAAAGGACTGTATCAGTTCAAGAGACTTCCATATGGTGTTAAACCTGCTCCTGCCATATTCCAACAGATAATGGATGCAATATTAGCTGGTGTATCGGGAGTGGCCGTTTACCTCGATGATATCATAGTCACAGGAGAAACTCAATTCGAACTCTTCAATCGGTTGGATAAAGTCCTGACAATACTCAGTGATTCCGGTTTCCATTTACGTCCGGATAAGTGCAATTTTTTCATGACTTCAGTGAAGTACCTGGGATTCATTTTTGACAAAGATGGTCGCAAACCCGACCCCTCCAGTGTGTCAGCAATTCAACAGATGCCTGCCCCTAATAATCTCAGTACGTTGCAGTCCTTCCTGGGGATGATCAGTTACTATAGTGCGTTCCTGCCAGATTTACATCGTCTCAGGGCCCCAATGAATCAGTTGCTCATGAAGAATGCTAAATGGAACTGGTCAGAAGAATGGCAACAAGCTTTCATCAAGGTCAAGAAATTACTCCAGTCTGACCTGCTGTTAACACATTACAATCCAAAGCTGGATATAACATTAGCTGCAGATGCGTCCAACTATGGTATTGGCACTATCATTTCACATGTGTTTCCAGACGGTGTTGAAAAGCCAATAGCAAAAGCATCGCGAACCTTGACAAAGGTAGAGCAGAATTACAGTCAGGTCGAAAAGGAAGGATTAGCGCTTGTGTTTGGGATTCAAAAGTTCCACAAAGTGCTGCTTGGCCGAAAGTTCACACTTTTTACTAATCACAAACCACTATTATCGATTTTTGGCTCCAAGAAAGGTATTCCAGTCTATACAGCCAATCGACTCCAACGATGGGCGACTATGCTACAAGGATATGACTTTCAGATCAAGTACAAATCTACAAAAGATTTCGGGAATGTAGATGTCCTCTCGCCTTTACTCAGCTATAACAAGCCCACAAAGGAGGATGCTGTGATCGCCGGCGTTTCTGTTGATGAAGACGTGTGCCACGTATTGATGATGGCAATAAACACTTTACCTGTCTCAGCCGACATGGTACAACGAGAGACGCAGCGTGACCTGACATTACAGTCAGTTCAACAGTATCTGCGTTGTGGCTGGCCCTCGCGTATTGATTGTCCAGATTTAAAACAGTTCTATCAACGACGACATTCGTTATCCCTGGTTAATGACTGCATTATGTTTGGCGAACGTGTGGTCGTGCCTCGAAGTCTCCAACAAAAAGTCATAAGTCAACTACATTTTACGCATCCTGGTATTGGCCGTATGAAATCGTTGGCACGCTGTTACGTCTACTGGCCAAATATCGATCGTGAATTAGAAGTGATGGTTCGCTCATGTTCTCGCTGTGCTCGGGCTTTGAAAATGCCTATCAAGACAGCCCTACAGCCGTGGCCCAACCCAGGAAAACCGTGGTCAAGAATCCACATAGATTTTGCCGGCCCAATCAATGGCAAACAGTTTCTGGTGGTAATCGACGCGTATTCCAAGTGGCCGGAGGTTTTCATTATGCAAAATACCACAGTGACGATAACATTAAATAAGTTGGTTCAGCTTTTCAGCAGATTTGGTGTTCCAGAGATCATCGTAGACTGGAAATCAACCAATCCGGTTGAGAGTTGGAATTGTGCAAGCGTCCAATCAGAAAGCAGGACAATTGCATGTCAACGACTTGTTAATAACGCGATAATAATTTGACTGAGACATGATAGTGACCCGATAATTGCATGTGTTTTGCCTCTTCCTAACAAATCAGATCCCTGCCAACCAACATATGAATATCAATCTGATGCTCACTAGTGACTGGCCGTATTCAGGTAGGTAGTTACCTGATTTCTAGTGGGAAGTCATGACCAGTGGGGCACAGTAGGTTGGGTGTGAGAATAAATACTCGCTAGTAGTCGTGCCATTTCCTGAATTGATAAAAGTTGGGATTTATGGGTTAGCTATTGGATCGGGTCCCAGTGGCTTAATAGACTACGACCTCGGCTTGTAATCAGGTCCTGGGTTCGAATCCCGGAGGTGGATGCGTACTGATGAAGAGACCAAAACTGGGCTGACCAAACAGCTGTCCAGTACTCCCAGGTTTTCCAATGGTTCTCTAACCGAAGTCAGTTCATAATGAGATTCAGATACTGAAGTTATTTCAGGAGTGAAGTAATAAAAGGGATAGTCCGCTTAGTTTGAGAACAGGTCATTTTGAATGCACTTCTGATACAAGCTATTCATAAACTTGAAAATTCGGTTCAAAAAACACAAAATTGCCAACCATTGATCAAAATCTATCGACTAAGTTTTCAATATGCCTACTAAACTAACTTACACAAGACTGAAATGCGTTTGGTATCAGAAGCTCTGTTATATAGAGATTTGAGCTCTATGATCCTTGTCAATAAGACACATCTGCGACCTTGGCATACTCATGTCGCCTAAGAAGCTTCAAAGTGCTTTCGTCAGATCAAAAGCCAAACTATCCTCACGCTAATGGAATTATAACTGACTTATCCTGGGACGGAATGATTTGCACTAATCAGTCACTAGACCGTATCCAACATTTGTAAAAAAACGATGAATGAATTTTTCGTCAGCTTGTAGTATTATTATTACTATTCCGTTGAATTCTGAGTGGAACACAGGGCTTCAACAACATATCCCCGCGTTTTGTTGTCCGCGATTCCCCACAATCTCTCAACTCCTTGCATCCTACGATCTTCTATCATGTAGGAGATCGGTTCCCACTGCATTACAGCTTTGGATGCTATTAGTGAAATCATGATAGCCACTCCCACATAATGCTCATGGTTGTTGTCTGCGCGACCGGAGTAGATTACTGACTCTCCAGTTGACAATTTCGATAGTCCACATCCGTCCCACGTGTTCTCACAGACGCCCAGCACTTCTATACCATATCTTCTTATTTCTTTGCCTACCTGGTAGGCCTTCCCAGACTCGTTCAGTGGACTTGCATTCCATGTCCCCATTTTTATTCTTGCTTTCACCGATAGAAGACACATCGGCTTGTACGTTGAAGTTTCTGTAGCAGTTTGACTGGTTTTATGCGGTGGGATTGCTAGCCCCACGCTAGCTCAACCCTCTCTCTTTAACCAGGATCGGGGCCGCTTAGAAGACTAGTGAGCTAGGTAACTAGGCATTATTATAATTAATTATTTGTACCATTAACAAGTAAGTAATCAATCGAAGATGATGATGTAGACAATTAGCAAATATAAGAAATCAAATATTTTTGTACTGAATACTAATTTTGGAAATGTAGATTTATCCGCTTAGATCATTTTGAGTGCGGCAACCAAATATCTAGAGGTTCACCACGAAATGGCACAGGCATATTTAATGCCTACTATGTATAACACACGTTGGTTATCTTCATCAACCCTTATTTTTAACAGAAAAGATGAACTAGAATTATTATTTGAGGGATGAATGAATGTTATTAAGTTGAAGTTTAAAACTAAAATCCACATTTAGTTAACAGACGAATAATCTAAAAACGAATAAAGCACATTAAAAACGTGAAAATACATGAAAATAAAGGAGTACTTCATTTTAAATCTAACCCACCTGATTTATTAAATCCAAAGGAAATAACACGACATTCTTATGCTGAGCTAACAGAACAGAACTCCTCAACATATTCACCATACCCTGTGCTTTTCCTAAATGACTCAGCAATGGACTCAGTGTTACCATTTCGAATCCTATTATTTCAAAAAAAGATTAATCAAATTATTAGTGAGTATGGAAACAGGTAAAAAACATAACCAGATCACATCACACTAGTGTATCTAGATTGTATGCATGACTGCAAGCAATAAATTTTCAGTGACTAGGGTTACAAAGTGTATTTCCTATGAGGCTTAGTGATTTTACAGCATTTATCATACCGAAGTAGTTTAAGTAAGATTTGAACCTAAGACTTAATAGATGAAGCTCAAGTGACTCAATCTATTAGTTACACCGTCAAAATGTGTTAGGTCACAATAAAAATATCCTCCAGTCTTTACTCATGTTTTCTAGCCGAACTCAGTCAATGAGCACGAACAGTTGGAACCTTTGTAGGAAGTAACAATAAACACGTTTTCTTCCAATAGGATTGTCAGCAACGCAGGCGGACATACAGACAATAAGGATACAATATGAAGGGTGAAATACTTACAGGGGATATATCATAAAACATACTTCTAACTCCACTTTCTCGAAGGATATCAGTTCCCTCAAATTCGCTGATGGGATTTGAAGGGAACAACTATCTGACAATTATTACCAACTACCACTACTACATAATGTTTTATAACTTGTCTAGAACTCATATAACATGTCTTGCCGAACAAGCAGCCTGACAAAATGGATGGTAACACAAAATATCACTTGATCAAGTCTGTTTACTGATTTCCTCACCTACCAATATTCATCATTATCTTTGGCGTTCACATAGCTTATTCTGAACATATATTTAGACTGCAGTTCTTAAAAGCTTTACAAAAAGTTTATCTCTCAAAACCTCATTCATCTGCAGCACTTATTGAGATCAAGTGTACTATTAGGTAACACAGTAAGACAACGACGAATATATGAACCTTTGAGAACTGGTACAATTAAGAAACACAGCATTTCTCAAGAGAAATATTGGCTGAACTTGAGAAAATTCAGTTTATACAGACTTTGGTTGGTGGTCCGCACTAGGCGGGGAAATGTAGATTCCCCAGTTTGGATCTTTTCAAGTGCTAAAACCGAATATCTAGGGGCTCATAACGAAATGGAACAGATGTCATTTAATCGAATTTTAGATTTTCCCGTCCACTGATTGGTTGACATATCGGCTTCTTGTGCAGATGCTTCGACGATGTCTGGCCGTGTAATTAGAATTTAATTGGTGGATGGTGACTAGCAGTGGAATCCAGGTACATCCAGATGACGAGCCCCAAATAAGAGGAAATACGTGTTCTGGATTTCACTGCTAGTCACCATCTACCAATTAGATATATGTCATGCCTATTAATGTATAACATGTTGATTAACTCCACCAACCTTCATTTAACTATTGTCTCTAAGTCGTAGTATTATTTCCCTGTTTCGGACAATAGTAACTTGAAACGACACACCTTTCTGAGAACTTTTACGCAGACTTGTATAACTGCAACTGAATGACAGTAGAACAGAATTAGACTGAATCAGCAAATTTTTTCCACTGTGCACTGATATATGACAAAGTAATCCTAATGTTTGAGAAACACAGCAAATCAATCGTAATAATAATGCAATTTTAAATTTAGATAAAGCAAGATATCATCAGTATGTCGCATATCACTTACCATAGGCTTCAGATAATAAACAATGAATTGGTGTATAGGTATCATCAAAATACGCTTCAGCTGCTTTGCAGGTAAGAAACGAAGATTGGTTGAAATGTCTTTCCTATGATAAGAAATAACTTTATTTAGAACATAAGGCGTAACAGTAACAAACTCTTGAGGTTATCAGTTGGTAGAAGCGTTCTTTTGACAGTGTCAAACTTGAAACTGCCTAACACACGAATCAAGAGTAGTCAATATATTACCTCTTTGAGCTCCTGTTCAAGAGGTGTATGGTACCGCGAAGAACTAGCAGAACCACTAAACAGATATTCAACAATGTCCTTCCAAAACTGAAATCGGTATTTGGCTTGTTCTATATTTTTGGCACGATCATATATCTAAGAGGAATAACAGCCGGAATAATATGAAATGAACACATACCTGGGCTAATTCTACATTAAACGCTCTCAAAGCTAGAGCGAAGCCATATTTTGAGCCAGGAAGAAGTAATGAACACAAATAATTTTCGTAGTCATACTTTCTAAGATCACATCAACAAAAACAGTTTGACATACTGAACAACGCTGAGACAATATGTTGTTTTTGCAGCTAAAAACCGCATCACAAAATTCGATTAAGTGTAATCAGTTCAATACATGGAGTGAAATACCTGAAATACCAAACAACAGTTATATAAGTTTAGGTGATTGATTTAAATACACAGCTATTTCGGCAGTTAAAAAAAGACAGTAATACGATAAGAGTTTTCGCTTTCTAAATGTTTGGACGGGCGGCTGCTGACCTATGCACAACAGCGTGAATCTCAAACGTAAATGTAGTGACTACGTGGTCACTACTTCCTAGCGGCGCCAGGCACCTAATGTCATCGACATCTTCCTTCTGGTGTGTTAGCACCAAGTCTAGAGTGGACGGATCATGTTCACGGTGGTATCGTGTTGGTGCACCTATATGCTGCACAAGTGCGCATTCAAGCACTATCACTATGAGTTGAAACAAGTGTACAAGGTAGATGGTGTTAGTATTCTATGGTTGCAGGCAATTGACAGGAAGCCTTAGACCTAGGTTTCGTGCTAGTTGGCACTCATCAGCAAGGCGTATCTGCAACTTTGAAGGAACTCATGTCCCTTGTGAGATTCGAACCTGTCACCCAGTGCTACAGTCAGAGACGTTACCACTGAGCTATTCAGGCTCGCGATTGACCTCCGGTAAGTCCAAGGCCTCCAACCATCTAATACCACAGTGCACCGTAATGGCGAGCCACCTAACACGGTGACCACATTGCAAACGTGATTGATAGAATTCAGTCTGCACTGAAGATAGGACTAGGCACATTACACTAGTTACTGACTAGTATGCAATCGAAAAAATTAGTAGATGATGTTAATTCCCCTCCCCCCCCCCCAATTAATATGTGGAGCGTTAAAGTCACTAACAACTAGACACCTATTTCCACTACCCCACACCATCAAGTGATTTGAATGAAGTCATCAGCTTGGCTAGCGGGACTTCTGGAAACAACCCCGATCGAAAAGCAGCATTCACAGGAGGATCGAACGAATAATGACCGCTTCAGTCATTGACAAGTATGGTTGAAGGCCTGAATTCGAATAAAAATGATGCGTAGACAAACAGCCTTTTCAAACAATCCATAACAGGGCTATGCGAATATGTCACATAATAGGCATAGGAAATTACAAATAATTGCTTTTCTTGTCTTCACAGTACGTTACTAAGTGTATTACGACTTTTGCAACACCGCAGAACACGTGTGAACACGAAATCACTGTACGAGTGAATACTACGCAAATTAAATTATTCTACTAAAGAGGCTTGGAAAAATGTGTCTGAATAGATATTTATATATACACATCAGTATATATATATATATATATATAAACATGAAATCTACTTGGGACGAATTTAAGAAAGCATGTCTGCAAATACAGGAATGAATCCATCGGTGACTTTGGAATGAATGATTGTACTAAAAATGCAAGTCAATTGACCAAGAAACTTCAAGATGACCCCGAAGCAGAAAATTACATTAATTCTGGATGCTGTGCATATATTGCAACCATATATGGCAAAATGATAACTATAGTTATCTTTTGATCGCGATACCCATGGGAAACCGAGGTGCGATATTACAGTAGTTGGGTGAGAGTATGGGTGTTCATGTGTGAAAATAAAATACAGTCTCTTAACAAATTTACCAGTCTCATAAGACTTACGTTAACGTCATACAAGTTAACAGATTTCTACCATACTTCAGTGATTTGAGAGAAAGGATAGCGGCACAAATGGCTTATGGAGAGGCTGAGCACTTGAAGGTCACTTACGCAAGCTGTGATTGGTAGATGGCATAAACGTTGCGGCTAATACGTGCCTTACGTTACTGAAGTGGGCTTTGAAATAGCAATAATAAAGGCGGATAGACATTATATTTTTTAGCTTAAGGGACCAACTTAACATGCTTATAAATTTCATTTCTATAGAATTTCACCAACTCTGTGGTTGTTCCTTGCTTTGTTCACATATTCAGTGTTGCTAAGATTAGGAATTGTTCACCAGAGGTAAAATTAATTTACCTGGTATGTATACATCCTCAGAATTTTCTCAGTTTGGCTGAAGGCATTCGAAGGACTACAATCTCAATCTCTGCTTGAAAAGTTCACATCCATTTTCTGCGAACGGATCTGGTGGTGACGAAAACTGCAAAGACTGGTTCAACACCACTAACAACGGAGGCAAACGGATACAAATGTTGTGGATAGAGTGTTTGGTGAACTTAATGATGACTATGATGCAGCTACAAAAAAACTCTACAACTTTGATTTTTTCACTGGATTGCAATTAACTCTCTTTAGTGTAGATATGTACTCTTTCATTCTGAGTCATTTTTAACTTGATTGATTATTGTTTCCTTACAAATATATGCATTTATGCCGACTAACTTTGTCTCTTTCACTTATCATTTTGAGGGCATTGCAGAGTTAACGAGAATATGGTAGGCAACGTATTAATACTTATGTGAAATGCGTCAGTCTTAAAATATTACTATTTCCTCAATGCATCATTAAGCCTTGCGTAAAGCGTTTCAGTTGCGTATAATATTGGTATTCGCGATTGTTAAGAGAGTAGCCGTCAAACATGTGTAACAACGAAACATAACCTAGCAAATATAGGTCCTATACGTACACGACTTGTAGTGGTAGCCTAGGCACTTCATGCGCACTATGCAACGTATATCCTATTTATCACAAATAGTCTACTATTCCTATGTTGCGTTTAACACCACTACCTCGAAGGAAATCATTGCATAATAAAGAGATAACTACATTACTCTTCTTGTGCTATCATTTCGTATCAGTAGGCTCTTACATGATCACATTAACACTCAGACTCGTGCATTAGTTGATCACGTCACTAAATTTGATTGATTACTTTGTTATCATAAAATAATGTAACGCAGTTGATAGGCTTTTGTTGTGCATATCGCCTGTTTAAGGTTTACTAGCGAAAGCGATAACAGTACCCCCATTGTGTCTACATTCAACCAGATGTAAATATGGCATTTTACCAATATTATGTCTTCTACACTAGCATCAATTTGCAACTCGACAAACAGTAACTATTATTAGTGTACGAATAAGATGCAAAATTTTTAAAACAATATTTATTTCGACAAATACATTCATAATATCACAAATATTTCACCAATTACACAAATATTATTGTTTTTAATCCCAATTAGAATTTCTAAATGTATTGAGTGATTGCGGAATTGAAGACCATAACCTGGAAATTAAAAATGACAAAAATTCAGTCAGGAAATGATGGGCTAAATAAATAACTTGAAACACAGTACCCACAGTTAAATGACTGTTTATTCACCGTTATCTGACGAAACTACCAACTCAGTTTCCTTTATCACTGTGAAATTTTGTAAACATAATGAAATCATAATTACCCAGATATTTAACTCTCTCCTAATCATTTACGTAAAATACACTGGAACAATTGGAGTTATTTTGCATTTTATATCATAATTGACATTTTCCAACAAATTCTGACATTTCTCATGCACCTCAGTATGTCAATTCCATAAAAAGAGAGCATTTTGTAAACACATTGAAAAATACCACCTTTCTCACTTTTTACACGTTTTTTCGTTAAAATACGGGCGAAGTACAAGAATAGCGTCCCAGGAGCGCGAACGTTCAAATGACCTTGAACGCATGCTAGTCGTTGGCTAACGGTTCCTGTCATTATCATAGCTGAAATATCAACCCTATTCATCAAATAAAGAGCAAGTTTCACCCAGATAACACTTTTAATTACTGTTCGGACAATGTGTTAACAACTCGTTAGGGTTAGGATAGGGGTTAAGGCGAGTATTGGGGTTAGGGTTAGGGATACGGTCACAGTTGGGATTAGGGTTAGATTTACGGCAGGATAAGGATTGTCATTTGAGTTAGGATTAAGGTTAGGGTTGCGATTAGGAATAGATTTGTCGTTTATTTCAACTTGTTTTATTGTCCTCATTTCCCTTGTATGTAGTCGCCAATGCTCTTACTGGAACCATAGTAACTAAACCGAGGGCTTTGGAGAGGACTACACAACAAGGGAAGAGAGATGAACCATTCCCAAAACAGCACACCTTCAGTCACTTTGGTGAATACATCTACAGAAACTAGTCCAAATTAGCAACTGATACTCTTCGTCGCAACTGGAACGTATTTTTAAGTCATATCAGAGAAATGTAATCCGTTTAATGTGTTTTCATGCACTCTCTTGTGAATATACGTCATTTTTCGTGCAAAAATTCCTCATTTTTATGATTGGCTGCCTGAAGGTCACTTGTGCGTTCGCATCTTTTGGGACGCTATTGTTGAACTTTGCCAAAATACGATTTTTAAAGTCCATTTCTGTCGAAAAATCACCAAAAACAACGTAGAATAGCCAAAACACAACGCCACGGTAACACCTTAAAACTGCAGCGATGAGCTGATTTGTGCCTCTATCCTATTCCGTGATTTGAAAATTGGCGAACTCCAACAATAGCGCCCCAGGAGTGCGAACGCTTCAATAACCTTGAACGATTGACTTTATGATTGGTTGGCTGAAGGTCTCTCGTGTGGCTGAAATTATCCGTAACTTATCAAGGTCAGTGGTAAAGTGAGACGCTCGAAGGTCATTTTCGTCCATATCAGTCGGCCATGTTGGATCGCAGTCCCGTAGCTGTTCGTGTACGCGTTTGTTGTTCCGTTTATCCTGCCGTTATATACGACTTATCTTGTTGCGTATTGTTCACAAACGTTGCGTTTCACCTCATTTTTTGTTTCCATTGCTGTTAAAATGAATTATTTCTTTGGTTTTGAAACTTTTCATTACCAGGTCAGTGCATTTATTTCGGTGTAATTGTTTCATACCTTGTATTTATGCGGCTTTCAGTGTTTTAGTTGGTTTTCAGCTGTTAATGAATTGGCAATGTGTAGAAGTTTTGGGAATCATGCACATGAAGATGTTTGGCTGGCAGAAGCAGTTGTTTTCAGTCCATTTATTGGTTGCTGTTATTATTGTTGGCTCATTTAATTACCTAATATGTAGAAATCATGAAAAAAGTGTCTTTCTCTTTCATGTTTACAGCATGCAACAATCTGCGAGTGAATCTGTTAAAGGGAACACCATCAGAGTTGATGTTAGCAAAGTTTTCGAAGAACAAATTAAACCTGGAAAATTTAGAACCTGGGTTGAAGTTAAAAAAGCTCTGAAGCTTTTTGAGAATGTGAATATACCATCCGTGTGTCTGCTATCATTTAAAAAAATATATTGTGAGAGAATCTAAGTCAAATAAAGTTGAGCCGCACGAAAAGTATGAATCTGTTGTGCTTGTGTGTATATTGGGGGAACTAAAAGAACCTGGAATCCTTAAGGGCAAGTGTTACTTATGCTTATTATTGCTTGATGTACTAGATCCAAATACATGAACTAGGACTACCCGTAATAGAGACGGTGTCAACATCCATTCGATGGGTCGCAAAACGGTTTTCAAAGCGGATAAAATACGATGATCTGGTGAGTGTACGAACAATCCCAGTTAAGGTAAGACATTAATTAGGAAGAATAACGTCTCGGGTTGTAGTCTACGATCGGTAGTTTCCTCGAAGTTGTGATGTTTCCGTGATTATAAACACAGATGTTTACGATCTTTCAAAAATCTAAATAAATTTTCCTTGAACCAGTAGTCTTCTTTTCTTTGGCGAAATATCCGTTGATACGATTAGGTAGCGAAGTAAGATGTTATGTGACTGAGAACAGTGGTTGTTGTGTTTTGGACTAATTTCGCGCATCTGACTGTTATAACCGCATGGATATAGCGTTTTCCTCATGGTACATTATGATATCTAGAAATCATAAGCACGCTGCCATCGGTAAATTTATTTTTACTTTTTAAATGATTGCAAATAGTGAGTCGTTTGAGGTGATAGGATGAATACCTCTGAACGTTTTTGGGGAGACTAGGGTATATTTAATTTTTTCGAGTAAGGGACTATCTTTTTACCAAGAAAGTTCCCAGAATTTTTGTTATTCAAAGATAACACTAAGTCGCCCACTAAGGTGGTAGCTATAGGAGATTACCTTCAGCGGAAACTATATTAATGTAGTTTTAGGTAACGCGTCATAGAAGTAAGCATCGTAGGTTAATTGTGTCTAAATGTATTAAACGTTGTATAACTTATCAAACCATAGTTCTTACGTACGAGTTAGTTTTATAAACAGTGAATGTACCGTACAAGCGTCTACCGTGATTTGCATACCTAGCTCATAAACATTATGCCTGCATGTGGCATACATTTAGGGCCAACACGCTGCGATGAATCAGTCCGAGATGCTTCAAGTCAGACTTCATTTCCATATCACTATTATCAATTTTGCAACGGTCATAAGAATTAACACCTTCAACTAACTTTCGTTTACATCAGAAACTGAAAATAACAGTCTGACATTTCGAAGGATTTAGTTTAAGAGCATTTTCTGACTCCTAATAGAGAGCTGTTCATCTTAGTACAGTGTAGCTGGCAGTTAACAGACATTGAAATAGTTAGATCATCCGTGTGTTTGAAAAAGTTCTTTTCGTATGCATTCGTACAATAAGTTCATCAAACAAAGATACAATGGGTAATGGATGACTTCCCCCTGACCTACAGTGTACTGCTTTCTCCCTGATAAATAAGAATGAAGCCATCTAACAATCCAATACTCAGTTTGAGTTTCAGCAAGCTTATCTGACAGAATATCTCTACTTACTGAGTGGAAAGCAGATGTGTGATCTAGGAAGGTACAGCGAATTTAGCCCCATTGTCCACACTGGGGAAAATATTGTGATACAAGACTGCAGCTGCATCTAAAGTACTTCTACTATGTTTATGGGAGAATTGTTTGGGATCTTTAAAGTCTTTATGTGAAGGTCGAAGATTAAGTA